AGGGTCCCCCTCAGCACTGGGAAGCCTGTGCTGGTGCTCCAGCCACCTCACTGCCCCACAGTGGAGCACACAAAATCTATTAGGTTGGGCACCCGTAGGCTCTGGTGTGTGAGGGAATGATGTGGTGAGTGTGTTTCTCCTTTTCAGTCGGGACCATGTCAGTGAGTTCTCACTTGTGTGCAGCTCCCAACTGATTTTTTTTGTGGGTCAACAGCCCGACCCAAAAAAGTTTCCCCACTCTGATCTATGACATTAGTGTTTAATCAAAATACATACCCCTCCCCCCAAAAATTAAGTGGATTGATAAGTGGATGTAAACCAATTTTAAAAAAGCCTTTTAATTAGCCCCCAAAATATCCATGAAAGCTAATAAAAATTGAATATACAGAACACTAAATATATTTAAAGACCTCTATAATACTGCCCATATTACACAGTCTTGAACACACAATGCAGTGAAACCCTTAAGCTCTCACTCATTCATTCCTTCACTATTTCAGCTCTACTTTCTATAGCTTCTACATGGCTCCATTCTCCAGACTCCTGTAGGTAGGTGCCTACCCCTTCACACATACAGAGAAATGTGATCCATTAGTTAATCTCACAAACACTTGCACTGGTGCCTCAATGATTTTAGGATTGAATTCTCAATTCCCAGGCTTCAAGACTATACATATTTGTAGTGGACCCTCTCATAGGCTTGCTGGCTTACTGTTCCTCTCCCGTTTCCTTGCAGCCGTTGCTTTGGCCAGGGCCTTCCCCCATAATTCCCAGTTGATGGAACAGTCTTTCTATGTTTCTCTGCCATATCTTTCCAAATCTCAAGTTTTTTCTCCTATGCATTTGCCTCTTGATCATCTTTTCCCTCTTACAACAGAAGCATTTATACAATACAATTTTTATTTTTCTTGTGAATCAATGCCATGTTGTTTACTGTACTATATTGTGTAAACTTTTAGAAATGATTTATATAAAAAAACTAAATCAAAATTACTGATTTATATATTTAAAGTGAAGAAATTTCCTGTAGTGAGTCAGCATGGCCTCCCACTGACCCAGAAGAGGAAACTTCACCAAAAACCCTTTGGTGGACGGTGCCAGGACCATTCAGTCCCACCCACAGGAAACAAGAAGGCAGGGCTGAAGATATAAAGAGAGGAGCTCCAAGCTCGGTTAGAGCTTGGCTGCCGAGCAGAGCAGAGGC